ATTCCCCAGCTGGGGATCGTACCACCATCCCCGATAAGAGGGAAAGTGTGCGACCTAGCGGAGTACCCGTGAGGCGAGCGCTAAACAACCTGTTGTGTTGATGTAAGTGAGTGCTGCAATGATAGAACTGGCAGACTCCAAGGACTGCTGTAGGGATGTGGAGCACCCCAGCAGTACGATTTTTTTTTCTTACCCTTGATACTGGGGGACTAGAGATGAGGCAGTTGACTCTGTGACTAATGCTCGGATAGCTTATTCACATCAGTTCGCTGACTCATCCTCTGGTCAGTATTGCCCAACCCAGACCTCGGCTTCCGGGCTTCAGGTTTGAGGTTTGGTCAATACCTCTCCCATCCCCAGCGTCTATGGGATTTCTCATCACCGTAAGTTCCCTTACTGAAGGCCTCGTTTTCTCACTCTTATCTCATGGTAAACTGGGCCGCCTTCTACATCCGTCGACAGTACTTCTGGAACTTCTGTTGGCGTGTCACTGTTACAGGCTTATTCGGTAGGCCTCTAGCCGTTCAATGTTATTCATTCACCCTCTTTCTTCAGGAGTTATCTTCTATATGGTTGGTAGTGTGGCGAGCTCTTGGAATGAGTCTGTGCATCGTGCATGGCTACATTATGTGAAAAAAGAGGTAATAGTAGCAGTAGTGCTTTCAGCTCATAGAGGTGATTGATTAACAGAGGGAACGGGCAGAGCTGATGGAGTTGATACGAGACGCTCGAGATGCAGGAGTTCTGCCGCCGAGTGATGTGGAGAACTTTGAATGATTTTATAACATGTTCAAAGCGGTGCGGTATGGTTTCTGTGAGGTCTATTTGTTTAATTCTGGTGATTGAAGGCGTTATAGTGTGTTTGTGATCACCTTTTATCTCATCGTGCGTTGTATCAAAATTGGTATACCCGAAATAGTGCGCGCTGCATAGGCTTCCTTACTCGAGTAGTTGGTAATTTCCCATGCTATACCCTATATGTCAATAACGACGTGTTTCCTATTTAACGGTG